CCCCCCCCCCCCCCCCAACAGGGGCTACAACCCTCTAACAGGGACCAAAATCTGCTCCCAGACATTGCTCTCCAAGCTGCCTGACAGCATATCGGCAGTTGGATTGGCATCGGCTGATGTGGCTCTTTAAAAATCGTCTATCAGTATCGGCCCAAAAAATCTCTATCAGTGCATCCCTAATATTTGCTGAGCTTTTTGCTACTATTATTCTGTAGCTTGGCAAATATATCTTACACAAAACTTTTATTTAATAAAGAAAAACTAGAATTACTACTTGTTTATAGGTCATAAAGGTTTTCTTCTAGAAGTACTTTGAGCCATTTTCCAAGTTAAGCACTGACATATACCCAATTATATGCAGTTTTAGAAATAAGCTATAGTGTTGTAAGAACTGTTAAACTAGCATCACCATGTCCAGTTAAGGTTACTGCTACTAAGACAGAAATAGTTACATAAGTACAAAAACTGTAGACAAACTCTTTGTGCAACACAGAGAAATACAAAATAAACTTCTCACCAAAGTAGAACAGCATAAACAATGCTGGCAATAGGTATCAATGTATCAGAAGGCTTGAAAAAGAAAATCCAGTTTTTCTTCAGATTCTATGGCAATAGTATTATTTCTGGATGTTTTCCTGACGGATGGTTTTCTGATATGGTGTTTGTGAAATAGCACTGACATAATGTGTCGTTCTGCAGAACAACAATACTTTGAAGTTGAAAAACGTCTGGCTCAGAGTCAGGAAAGACTTGTAAATCAGACACAAGAATGTCAGACCCTCCGTCAGGAGTTAAATAAACTAAGTAAGTATGTAGTATTTAAATAAACTAAATATGTTGTATTTTGTAAGTTTTTCCTTAAATCTTCTGAAATTGTTTTGAAATGCTTAAAAATGTATGTCAGATAAAAATCAATAAAATAAGTTGTCATTCACATCTGCACTCTACACTCAATTGCGCTGGAGTAAAACAGCCTTGTGTAAGTTAAAAAACTGAAGTTCAGATTGAGGAGATCCTTATGCCCAAAAGGGTTAGCTTGGAGACTCCCTAACATTGATTAGCTGTAGATTCTTTAATATTAATAAGAAAACCACTGAATACATAGCTATGTTATTTCATTATTTTGTTGGAGAGGGGGAAATGTTTAATTCTTGTCAGACTTGAAAAACCACGAGTTAACTAAATAAATACTTCAGCTTCATTTTTTAACACTGTTTCTTACTGTTCCATATTATACCATAGATGAACAGTTGAAGTCCCTGAGTGAGAAAAACAAAGAACTAGAAGCTGCTCAGGATCGCAGTGCAGCCGTCCAGGTACAAGAAATGCTGTATATAACCGTATAAAGCAGTAGTTTTTTTTAATTATTTTGGAATACCTGGTGAATGTTTTGTCTGGTGTCTGGTGGTAGTAATAACTTATCTGATACATTCATCAAGCATATAGATTAAAGCCAGTAGGGCCTCATGTGCACTAACAACTTTTAATCTTTTTAAATATTTAATGCCATTTTTTGACCTTTAGCTCAGTTTGAGTGGCTTATACTAGTTCAGTTCTTAAATTTGTTTAGCTTAGATTCCTTAGGTCAGGTCTGTGGGGCTGCATTCAGGTAGCAGTTCAGGTCCAGGGGCATACAGTTGCACAGTGCCTCATTTGGGCAGCACTGCACCAAAGGTGCATGACAACAAAGATCCAGGCGCATGTCACGGCACAGAGATCTGGCCAGGTAGCATCACAGAGCTGGAGGCAGGCAGTTGAGCAGAGATGCATTTAGGAGCGATGCAGACATGAAAAAATGACTGTAGGCTGCAGCCCTCTGTCTCCACATTGCCACCCAAATGTGACTGTACAGCTGCACACCTCCGGCTCTGTGCAGTATGGAATGGTGTCTGGTTGGTAGTACCAGGTGCATGTGGCAGTGTGCAGCTCTGTGTGTGCATTTTCAGTAGCCCACTAGAGTATTGGTGGGCCTGGTGCAATGGTTCCATGGGCTGGATCTGACCTGTGGGCAGTATATTTGCTCTAAGGAAGTCTCAGGGTGCTCAGAGGAGTGGCAGTAGTTCAGTAGGAGACATCTTTTCCTCTGAACTAGAACTAAGTATATTTATTAGCATAGAGCTGTAAAACAATGGCAGATGCAAGATTCCATTTTTTTTCTGAGTCAGTAACAAATATGCTTGCACTATTCCCATGTAGTCTATATTTTTAATACTTCCACTTTATCTTGCATGCTAAGATTGATAGTATGGGGGTGGGGGTTTGCGTTGAGTATGGTTAAGGTGATGACGTGTGCTTATTATCTGTGGATAATAATTTACTAGTAAGTTTAAATAATACCTGTAGGGTTCAATGAGAACTAAAAACATTTTTGTTATTTAATTTAAGAGTAAGCTTACCAGAGAAAAAGAAGAATTGGAAGCTGAAAAAAGAGATTTAGTTCGAACAAGTGAGAGACGATCCCAAGAAGTTGAACATTTAAATGGTATGACCAGTGAATATATTTAAAGCGTAATAAGCGTAGATTACTTTATGGTGCAAAAAACCCACCTGCTTCTAGGATTATACTTAAACCTAAACTGCATAAGGGTTCTCTCTACATTTTTAATGGGTAGTTCTTAGCATTATAGTAGAAGGGGCAGGGAATTAGTAGAGGGAAATAGAGAAAATGTAGGCCGCAGTACTCTGCTGTCTAGAAATGGCTGTGCTGGTTTCAGATGGGTTGGTATGTTCATACTGCCTAGTAGAATACTGTATACGGATACAGGCTTGGTTTTTGGGATGTGTAGAGCTACTTCTCAGCTAGGGTAATTACCTCAAATGGGTCAGTGTGTTATTGTGACAATCCTGGGTGTCTTCATTGGCAGGTGGACCTGCAGTTGGAGAAGGTCACAGAAAAATACAGTGCCTTGATAGATCATATTAAATTCTAAAGACCTATTACAGCGCAAACTTGGAAGCATTTTTCTAAACTAACTTTCCTTACGCATAGGATGGCTGTTAATTTACAACAGTAACTGGTATCACTTAAGTATTTTTTTCTTTCCTTTTTTTTTAAAGAGGATGTTAAACGTTTAAATGACAAACTCATGGAAGCAAATGCAGAAAAAGTTAAACTTCAGTTAAAGCTAGATGAACTTGAAACATCAGATGTCTCTGTGAAGGTGAGTAGTGTTTTACGTGTGCAGTGATAGCTGTAGTAGTGATGATTAGAATTTCAACAATGTACTTTTCTGTGGGCACGTTTAAAGTTTGTATTATTTTTGTATGAAAATCATTCTTCCCTCAAATGATTGACGATCCTTATTGTTAAATTAGCCCATCATGAATGTGTAGCCAAGGGTCATGGTGTGGGGAGCACCTGCCAGCTACATGGCATGAGGCGTGGCCTTGGGGTGTGCCTCACGCTATGTGTGGGGTGCAAAGCGCGCAGCTGTACAGTGCTCCCCACATGGCACCCTGTGGCCACGTGCCACCGCGCCCCCCTCCCCGCTCAGCACACCCTGTGGCTGCAGCTGGCAGTTGCTTCCCATGGGGGGAGGAGGGCGCGGCCACAGGGTACCACGCAGGAAGCGGGCATGGGGGGCATGCCCTGCCCTGCGGCCATGTACTGCAAGTAGTTGGGCACCTTTGTAGCTGCTGAAAAGGAGAGATTTTCCTCACTTCTTTCTCCTCCCTGTACAGATCAAAGTCATCCCTGTGCAGGCCAGGGAGCAGAGCTGGCATGGTTCAACTTGTCACTGTGGTATTGCGGATGGGTTGAACTGAAGAGAAATTCACAACCCTGATCTCCTCTTCCCTCCAACTGCCTTACACAGACTGAAGTGGTCCCGATCTGTTCAAGGGGCTGGTGGTAGGGGTAGCACAGCTGGACCCATCCTGGTGCTGGGTTGAATCCAGCTATGCAGAAATGAGCCCCTGCCTCCTGCACAGAATGGGTTTTTCCTGGCACAGGTGTAGTCCACAGCTTCTGAAACCCCAAATAATAGCAGTTAATATGCTCACACAAAGGAAGGTTTTGCAAAAAAAAAAAAAATTGTTACACATGCAGATCTACTTAGCTTTATCTGTTGCAATTTTACTTTTAGTACCGTGAGAAAAGGTTCGAGCAAGAAAAAGAATTGTTGCAGAATCAGAACAATTGGCTAAATGCAGAGTTGAAAGCTAAAACAGATGAACTCTTGCATATTGCCAGGGAAAAGGGAAATGAAATCTTGGAGCTGAAATGTAGCCTGGAGAACAAAAAAGAGGAGGTAAGATTACAAATGGAAAAAATAATTTTATTAATAATAGTCTTTAAAAAAATTAGATCAAGACAGCAGTTTTCTGGAGTCTATACTCTTTGAATGAATCATCTTTTGAAAACTAGATGTTTCTTGTAGATGTGTTTATGGGAGTGATGTCCTTAGGGAAATTTTGGCCTTTGTGGTGGTGTTGAACTTAGAAATTGTGAAAAATGTACATGGTTCAAAAAGCAAAATAAATATCATGGATCTATCCTCTGTCATTTACACAGGTTTCTAGAATGGAGGAACAAGTAAGTGGTTTAAAACAAACAAATGAAAATCTACAGAAACATGTGGAAGATCTTTTGAATAAACTAAAGGAGGTAAGAAGATGTCTTAAACTGTAACTTACTTTAATCTTGTAACACTAACTTTAGAATTACTTTTGATGATAAAGATTTTTATCAGCTATACTGCCTTGCAGAAAATTCAGTAGTGTGTTCTCCAAAGTGCCTCATTTTGTAAATTTATTGCTGGGGTTGCCAAAGTTTTAAGGTGATTTAGAATATTCTTCACAGTAAGGGTGGCCAAAATTTGGAATGGGCTTCCAAGGAAGGTGGTGCTCTCCCCTACCTTGGGGGTCTTTAAGAGGAGGCTGAATAGGCATCTGGCTGGGTTCATCTGACCCCAGCACTCTTTCCTGCCTAGCTAGGGGGTTGGACTCAATTATCTGTTGAGGTGCCTTCTGACCCTAGCTTCTATGAATCTATGAATTGCATGTTGCGATACCTGGGTACATCAGGGAGAGTTTCTATAGGACTGAAAAACAAATTAAGTTTATTAAGGGCAACACTCTAATGTCAAACATATTTGATGGAGTGAAGAAGGAAGGCCAGTTTAAAAAAAATAGTTATTGTATGTTAACTTCACTTTGACTTAGGACATGAAAAATTAAATACATGTGAAACAGAAATAATGCTATTACTGTTGTTCTTATTGATCAGGCAAAAGACCAGCAATCTGGTATGGAGGGAAGATTCCATAATGAGCTAAATGCCCACATAAAATTATCTAGCTTGTATAAGGTAAGTTGAAGGATGTTAAATACACTTGAACTTGACACTAGGTTCAAGGTTTGACGAATGATGCAGATCAAAACATCTTCCAAATCTATATTTCCACCTTAGCATTTCATTAATATGAGCATTGTGTTAATAATTTAGTTTCTTCTGATCAATGAGTAGTGACACTTATATAATAAGAATATTAATTAAAGTACAGGTCAGTTGAGAACTTTCTGAATGTGTAAGATACGAGTCCTAGCTTTTACATTTTGAAAGAAGGGAAAGGGGAGAAATGTGCTCTGTTGATTTGGCCAAGTGTCTAAAATGTTGCTTACTTTATAGATTGAGGGTGATGTTGATATATTTTTATAAGCTTATTTTGCCCAATGAAAATTTGCCATTCTTCTTCATAGTGTTGATTTAAAAACATTATTTAATTCACTGTATTGCTGCTTCTTAGTGTGTAAATGTGAATTATAAAACATAATGCTCACACAAGCATTATCAATATATTTGTAGTTGACTTTGTAATAAAATTTTCTTGTGTGTGTTTCTTTGATGACCAGGGGTCAATGTTCAGGTTGAGAAGAGAATTGGTTGTGGTACATCAGCTTGGAATAAGTCTATGTAAGCCTATAGTCCCTTCATAATTTTAAATTTTATACCTACTCACTTACATGAGGCCCTTCAGAAAGGTTACCACCAATTAACTAAAAGTGTGAACCTAATGAATATATCTTAAAGTACTTTAAACCATGTGTGAAAACTGATCTTCAGAAGTGGTCTCTGTTTATAAGCTACAGCAAACTTAAGACCAGTTTGCTTCTGAATGAAAGCACTCACATAAGTGTTTAATGCACTTTCAATTTTTAGCTTTCCTGAATCTTCCTGTGTAGACAAGACACAGAATCAAATGTAATAGAAATAAGTGCTTTTATTTCAGCTCACATCTATACAAAAAATACAAATGGAACTGTAGTATTTGCTGTTAATAACAGCTTGCTAGATATGCTTTCTATTGCTGAACTACTTTTATGTATACTTACTTAGATACACACGTGTCACACTAATTGGATACCCTCACACACGTAAGCCATATATATACATTTGTATGTATGTACGTCAGGGGTAGGCAACCCCCCGTCACAGGTGCCAGAGCATGGTGCGCACAGGCTTTTTTACTTGGCATGTACAGCAAGGATCTGGTGCTTCATGGCTCCCCCGCCATCCCCCCGGCACACCGACATCTTACAAGTCGAGGTTGCAGGTGTTTTGGGCACCCTGCCCAAAAAATGTTGCCAACTCATGATGTACATATATATATAAAACATAACTGCCTTGTTTAACCAGGCTTATTTATAGTGTAACAAGATTTTTATAAAGGATAACATGCTGTTATTCTCAAAAAAAATCTATAAAATAACTGTATGCCCAGTAGCAAATGGTTACATCACAGGACTAGATGTTGAAAGATCTGGGTTTCATTTTGAGCCATCTCATTTAGTTTTCAGCAAGGAACTTGAGACCACCTTGTAAAAAGTAGCCTCTGACTAGTGCTACAACTTGTGGATGCCCATCTTTTCACTAAAGGCCTGATGTTTCAGAGGTGTTGAATTCAGTATAGGCTTCAGATGGAGATTTATCTTACTCATGAGCTTCAATCCTATCAGTTTAAATTTAAATTAAAAAATTAGAAGACGCTTTGGAAAAATTGGACATTAACATCTGTCTCCAGCTAAGTAGCTAAGTAGAGATATTCAGTTTCTCCTGTGAGAGGAGTGGAGCTGGGGAAAAGACTCCCTGTCTTCCTGAGACCAGGGTCACCCCAATCCTGAGAAACCACGGTGGGCAGATGCTTCCCCTGTCCTGTAAACTAAAAGGTGAAGGGAGCAGCAGCCCTCTCTCCCTACCACTTCCCCAGACCAAGCAGTCCCCAGTTTGGGGAAGAGGCACAGAAACTGGTATGAGAAGCAGGCAGGTAGCAGCTGATGGCTGCTTCCCTCCCAGTCTACGGGCAGGGTGGAAACTGTTGCCCCCCTCCCCACCTTCTCAAGATGAGGGTGACCCTGGTCTTGGGAAAGCACAGGAGCCTTTCCCTGAGCTCCACAAGCCAGGAGAAAATGTACAGACATTCAGTCTCCGAGGATAGACTTTCCCAAGGGCAATTTAATCCTGATAGTTCCAGGATTATTTTTTCCCAGAGCAGCCATTTTTGCTCAGAGTGGAAAAAGTCTGAATGTCTGTACGCTTTTGGTTTCACTGGGAGAACTGATTCTCCCAGCTGAAACTGAACGCCTATACATAGTCAATGTTTAATCATGTAAGGATGATCAGCCTTAAATACTTAACTTGCTCTAAATTGTGATTGTTTTTGTTTGATTTTCGTGTTTTGATTTTTTTTTTTTTTTTGATTGTTAAAGAGCCAATATAAACAGTAACATTACCCAAAGGAATAAATGCTAATATGTTTGAAGTAGTTTTAGGTTAAATGAATAACTGTATTCTTTTATGAGCATAGCAGTGGCTTGCCAAGTTAGTGACAAGGTAAGTAGT